AATCTCTGAAATGGCTGGACCGATTTAAACGGGACTTTTTTTGGCAGGTTTCTGATGTAATAAATAATAACATAGGCTACTTTTATTTTAGAAAATAAAGTTAAATTCCACGCGGACGAAGTCGCGGGTACAGCAAGTATTAATTATAAATTGAATTAGACTATACTTAGAAAATATTTCAAACCGCTTAACTTAATTTTGTAATCGCTGCGCCAACGGAGCCGTAAAATTAACTAAGTTGAACTTAGATAACTTAGATTATATGGATGGCACACAAAATATGAGTTTAGTTGAACAACAAACTTACAAGTGAAGGTAGTAAAGTAGCAACTAGTTAATACTTTACTAATCTTCGTAAAATCCAGAGCGTGCAACTCGTAGTGGACTAGTAAATTGGTTTATGTATTCCCAACGAGATATCTCCCAAGTTTAGATCAAGTTTCATGTAAGTTTGTAAATTATCTTGGCTCGTCATGTTTATTTGTCTATTTCATAATAATATCATGATAGAACTAATGAATGAATGAATAAATGTTGTAGTTTCATTAAAAATGTTGGTGCGTAGTTACTATCTTAGAAAAAGAATCCTATGTATCCGAGCACAGTAACATATTTAAAGCTAAATAAAGATTAGATTTAAAAAAATTGAGAAAATAAATCATATATGGTTGTGCACAGTCAGATATTTTAAAATTAATAAAAATGTCATTTAAAAATAAACTAAAATTTGCTTTTAATTTTTCAAACAGTTTTAATTCAGAAAAAATGTTTCAATATTTTTTTAGTATATTTCTTATAATATATTTTTCTTTTCTCATACACATATGTATGGGTGATTTATTGACCATATTATCCTGTAACATTTTCTAGGTTGGCTGGAAGGAATCTCTTTTTAGAGATAAGCTCGCTCATGTATACATTTATCTTATAACTGTTATTTTTTTCTTTTGTGTGTGTACAATAAAGGATATTATTGACCACAAATGGCTAATAATTTAATGTCTATCGATCGCCTTAAACGCCCGAATAAAGCCACCACCAAGCTACCATCAACAGAACCAAACCTGTAATGCTGACTTCAAGATTATGAAAGTGATTTGATTTCATAATGCATTTAAACATATTGCTTCTTATTGTTACACTGAATCAATTTTAATTTATTTTATGTTCTTAAGATCAAGAAAATTTAATAATAATTAAATTTTATGTAAAAGATTTAAATATTTTAGAACATTCAGTGTCATCATGATGCTATGTATGCAAGGAGGACGTGACTCAAAGACCAGTTGTTAGTTGAGCCATTATTGCTAATTTAGCCTACCCGACATTTATTATAACAATGCACAATTACCTACTATGAAACATAAAGTTTAAAATTTTGTCCGATATTTCCTGTTTTAATAACAGTCTATCGTAAGACGGATCTGCAACAGGAGTGAAAACGGAAGATTTTATAATGAATTTGTAATTTATTTCAAACAACTATCAAATGAGATACAGAGGGAATGGCTTATGTTTTAATTAAAACTTGAAACAAACTTGTTAAGGAAGGGAAATTCTCACCCTACCTCCGTTATTTGGTGAATAAGCTATTTATGCGTTTGGAAGGTCGTCCTTTGAGTTCTTTACTACTTTTTTTTAATAGAGTAGGTAGTACTAGAAATAAGTTTAAGTAAATATTCAATATATAAACGTGACATTTATCAAGATATTATTATTTATGAGTTCCTGGTATTGTCGACCCATGACAAAGACCTTTGTAACAGCGTCGAAATATCGGGAGCTCATAAATATTATCATGGTAAATATTACGGTTATACACTATATATATGTAAAGTGCAAACAACCTCGATTTAAGCTTAAAACAGTGCTTAAGTAAGCAAATCACTTTCTTCATATAGTCCTATCGTCATGATGCCTGTAACATCATCAAAATGTTACATATACGTATGTAAGTATACATATATTATTAGTTGACTCGCGTTACTTACGTCACATTTTCAACAACAACAAACAACAACATTTCTTACTACAGCTCTGTTCCTTTTCAGCGTAACGTGATGTTATGTATATTATAACCCTTCTCGACAAAGGGGTTATCTAACAAAATAAGAATTTTTAAAATCGGATTAGTCGTACCGCAGATTACTCTGAACATTTAAATACACTCAATCTCATTCAAATCTATCAATGAAAGACAATATCTTAGATGAGATTGCAAAAAAAGTGTTTTTTTATTATTATAATCACACATTTTAAAGTGAATATAATGTATGTCGTAGAGGTACGTCGAAAAATATTGTATATGTAATTGGAGGGAAGGGTATTTTTAGTACATTATTAATACAGTTAATCAGGGTTTAACACGAATAATTTGTATATTCTTTATATAATATATTATATATATACATAAATATGGAAAATAAACGTATCAATCAAACTCTCTCAAAGTTTCAACTAGGTTGCACTAGCTGTGGTCACAAGCTGACTGGAGTACTGCAATGTCAATGTCCGTAGGAGCAATTTTTCTTAGTAAGCAAGCTATAAAGGTTAATGAAACGTTAAAATTACAAGGGCCCTCAGTTTCTGATATTAAACTTTATCTCCATTAATTCTGAACTTTAAAAGACAGTTCATGAGAAATGATAGCTAAATTCATGTTATTTTCTTGGGTGTATACAAAATATTATTCACAGTCACACATTCAGTCAAGCCAAACTAAACCGTAGTTTAAGAGCAGTAAGTTACTTTATTCAAAGGCCAAAAGGCAATTTTAACAAACTGGCCATCCCTCATCGCCTCGAAGTGATAAACCCAAGTTGCTTTATTGAAGTTGGCTGTCAAATGATCAAAGAACTCCAAGCGACATTATATATTGAGAATTTCAATATTTACGTCGGTGAATTTTGCAAAAGGTATTTTAAGGTGCTGTGAATAAGTAATTTTCTGAATTTTGTGTATATAACCATGATTTCCTTTAAAGTTACGAAAAGGTAAAATTTGTTGTTCCTTAAAGATTTTAAATATATGAAATACATTCGCGTTAAGTTAACAGAATAAAATTATTTTTGAGAATTTTTATATAGTCTATTTTGTTTACCATTTACTTTATAACAGTATTTCTTATATTTGTAGTCCGCTGCAGATTAGCTCGGGAACATGAGTCGGGATATATGGAGTCTTATGGGAAATAATACAAGCATATAAGCTTGTTGTGACACTGGAACAGTGTATCTTTAAAATGGTGAAAGAAATTCTCATATCGAGCAGTGTTTCCGGAATTTACTTATGGAGTTTAAATAATCCACTATCTCTTGTCAAACTTCTTAGTATTCCATGGATTCACCATGAGGAAGTCGCATCCGTTGTGTGACAACGAGGGAAACCCCAAGCAGTTCCTGGGACTTTTGACCCGGGTGTAGGTTTAAGGGTCACCTTGCCGACATACATCAACACTCACCTTCACCGCTCATGTTTCTCTTCCTGCCCAGCCAAATCTGATTGGAGCCTGCTGGTGTAGCTTTAGATACACGTTCTAGTATAGAACTTACGCCAGATCTAGACGGGCCAAGATATTGGTACAAAGTTATTTAATTAGTCTTACGTCAAAACCAATGTATACACACTCCAAAACAAATAAAACAAACAACAAAGTTTTAGACAAATATAAACAAATGAGGAAAATAAACAAAATGGCCGACAAAACACAGTTTGCACTCTTTCAACAAACATTAATTTCAATATCATCGATCGTGTAATAGTGTGCTATCACCTAATTCATAAGAAAACAAGAGTGGTGTATAAATAATTAAAATACAGAAATTACTATCCCACGGTCCACTCGCCACGTGTTGGTTCCCAAGTATAGAACCTCCAGCCTATTGGTGTGTGTGACTTTGAAATTGAAACACGTCAGTGCAAAACTGTTGGTACAGTGGTGTTTGAAAAATCAATTAATCTATCCATTCCACGGTAGACGCATGAGTACGTTGCACGTTTACAGACAACTTGAAGACAACGAAATGGTTTGGTTAACCAATTGAACGTAACGTAACAGTTACTGCGATTTAATTTCTTTTGAGAATAGAGAACTAAAAATTTGACAAGGTAATTAAAACGTATGATTAACATTTAATTTTCAAAATTCTATCATCATTTATTATAGCATCCATCTTACAAATCCAATGTATTATAAATCTGCATCGTAAATAAAATGATGTATAAATAATTATCATCTCTTTTTTCCCACACTACATTTAAATTTATTATCACTAATTCTGACATTTAGCCCTTTAAAAAAAGTAATTCATACTCTTGAATATTCATTATTTACCACTTTTAGAATATTCTGATATCACTATGCTAAGAGAAAATTATATTAATATTATAAATTTTATTATTTTATATCATTATTATATAAAAAATGGATTCTTCTATAATTTTGATAACGACCTGATGGTTTTGTCATTACTACATATACGTAGCTGGTCTGTGAAGTATTTAAAAAAGTTTACAGAATAATAATAAAAGTAATTTATTAATATTCTTTGAGCAACTCTGCATGTACATAAAAGTAAGGAAAGATTATTTTATACTTAGTGTAATATGTTTACTATTATTATTACTACTAAATAATTAATAAATAACTTTCATAAATTTAGAATCTAAAATATTCAGTGACATTTTCAATGTTAATTAGATCGTGTACCCGATTAAAAATAATTATTTTCGCTATATAAGAATTTTAAGATATGTTATATAATACGAATGAAATTACGGGAAGAAATATTTATTTGTGGAATTAGTAAAATAAATAATTCATTTTTATATTAAATTCATAGAATTGTATTAGATATGACACAATAATAAGATACAAATAATCTTATGATTTAAATTATTTCAATGTTTGGAGTAGTAAAACTGGAGAACATGCATTTACATTTAATATTTTTAAATACAGAAATTTGTTATTATTAATTGTTGTTATGTAATGATTTCAGATGATGACCAAAGTGAAAACGCAGGGTCTTGTGACCGATTTGATGCCTAACATCAAATTGATGCAGGCAGCCGGTCATTTTCTATTTAATTATCATTCAGGTATGTTGTAGAAAACATATTTATTTTACCAGTGTTTGTTCAACATAACGTCGACAGCAAACAGACAATGCCTCTGAGTACCCCATTTGGGATAATAGTCGTGATGCATGTAATAATATTAACATTATAAATGTGATAGTATGTCTGTCTGCCATTCTACAGTTTGACATCAAAATAGATTGTATCACGAGGATAGAGACCTATCTCTGTTGTTCTTTTAAATAAATGTTGTTCTAACTAAATGTACATACATAACAGATAGCCTACAATTTTACTCTTTTAAAGCAACACGTAATTTTTCTACTTATTCTTCTTGTAATGAGTCTGTGTCCCAAATTAGTGGTTGAATAAAAAAAATATTACTGTTCAAAAGTATTTATATGCATAAAGTTTATTTCTATAAATAATAAAACTAATAAGATAGTGCTTCTATTTCTATGTATTTAAGAAAAGTTGACGAAATCGCAGCTAACTGCAAAGTAATAAATAATATTTCTACTAAGATTTCCATATTGAATTGAGTAGGCGCGTAAACATATACGTATTGTTTCGTACATAAGTACTTTAGGCAGAAAGGTTTTCCTTGAGATTTCATTAAATATACAGCCGCATGAATATTCGTGTAACAGAACATTTTGTGAACAGAAAAGGGATTTGCTTGAGAATGTGTTTCAATTTAGATAAAATGTATGTTAAGGAGCAATTTTTTGGCTTTGTGAGTTAAATGCTAACAAGTACATTTTGTTGACAAAAGAATAACTCGAATAGTGATTTTATGGAATGGCAAACTAGTTGACTATCTCATGGTAAGTTGTAAGTCGCCTATGCATGAACAGTACAACATATATCATGTTATTATATGTTAACAATTTTGCTAATGAATTGGTTCTACTCCTGTATTGTCCGAAGAACCAAGAAATTATTTCGAGAAAAGTTATTATTATGCCTTTCATCTTGAAATTTCAACTGAAGTATCAAAAATAGCAAGGAGAATCCATATGGATTATCCTTAAATTGTAAGCTATATCATACCCTTAATTTTATTGACAGTATATATAATAAATTAAATGTATATCTCTATATTTTATCAATATCTACTATCAATAAAGTAAGGGACGTGGAGGGAGTCAACCAAGTGAGACATAATATGACAAAGAGTATAAAAAATATTTGCGAAGTCATATTTCGAAACCTAAACTTTATCTGTGATTTTATTAAGAAAAGTTTTAAATTGAAATAAATGTAATTTTGGAACTGCTGTTTGTTATTTAATAGGCGTCCCCAGTGTACGTCACTTAATAAGAATGACGGGGAAGGGGGTACTAAACTATGAAATCCTTGATATCTATGTTGTTTCCTTATAAAATATTTTGTTTTATTTTTTATAAAAGTATGTTTTAAAGAAGCTAACGCAAAGTATCATTGCAGATAACTCTGGCATGTCCATGCTTCTACGTAAAGTCTATAGCAGCGTCCACGCTGTATTGATAGTCGTTAACTATGTATGTATGGCAGTCAACATGGCCCAATACTCCGATGAAGTCAATGAGCTCACAGCCAACACCATTACCGTTCTTTTCTTTGCCCATTCTATCATTAAATTGCTATTCTTCGCTCTTAACTCGAAGAGTTTTTACAGGTGATGTATTAACATGCAGGTATTATATTCTATTAGAACGCTGTACTTTATTATTTATTTAACGGCCTCGGTGGTCTAGCGGTTAGTTCCGCTTTACTTCCGATAGTCGCGGTTCGATTCCTCGCACGGTGCAAACATTTGTATTCATGAGTATGATTGTGTGTGTCCGTCTAGGTGTTTTCTATATATAATATGAAAGTATTTACAAAAAATATCTAAGTATTTATAACATAACACAAGCACTGCTTACTGAGGGACTAGATGGCGCTGTGTTAATTGTCCAAGGTTCTTTATTTTCATGATGTAGATATAGTTAAGTAGCGATTTGATTCAGTCATTTGTTAGAGGCTCTGGTATAATTACTTATTTTGTTGATTCTATTAATCTGTACACTACTGGCATGCACGCAAGACGCATCACGCACAACGGCCTAAATGAGTGGCTAACTGCGGAAAATAGAGTTTATAAATAAAAAATATTTTCACTATAAACATAATTTATTTATTTAAATTGTCTGAAATTAAAATACAGTTCACAAATCTGCTTTCTACAATTATGAATGGATATTATGGACGTATTTTATTATGGAATAATAAGGCATTTACCTCCATACGTGGATTTTATTTTCCGCAGTTAGCCACTCAGTTGACTTTATAATTTTCATTTCTTTTTTATATTACACTATTCGACACGCGTACTCTTAAGTATAAGCGAAATATTATTGTTCATAGATACCAGTACAATTTTTAATAACATGGTATTATGTGTGTAGACTCAGGACGAAATTGTAAAGCATAGTCGTTATCCGATTTGCATAGAAATATCCATTAGATTTTCATATAAAACTCCATCCAAGGTGTTTTTCATCATATTATCTTTTATTATGTCTTTATATATTTATTTAATAAGCTTATTTTATTTATATAATAAAAGAAATACTTTATGAATATCACATATATAAAGATGTGGATATAAAAAAAACACTTTTATTTAATTTAATATTATAAGAATTAAATATGTAATAATAATTAATGTAATAATAATTATATTATATTAAGTTTAATGTAATTTTTAAGTAAATATACAAAGATAAACGGTTTTTCCCCTGGTTAAGATTTCTTTATATGACATGTAAAGAAAAAATACATAAAATAAAAAAATACTTATCTATTAAGATGTCATGCAGTCTATTTAAGACATTTAATCAGATCTACGACTAAATGAACTGAATAAATATATTAGGCACTCATCTAAGTAATTTTGGAGAGAAAACCTGTTTATGAAAAACTCCGAACATTTAACACCTTTCAAGTTTTCAAGAGCGTCTCAAAAACGTGGCGAGAATGTCACCGAAGAAATAAACAAAAATAATAATCTCATCGTTGGGTCGCTACAAAGAAAATTCATTTCCACCCAATTTTAATTTAACAAGCGAACACAAAGGCTTTTGAATAGAAAATAATTTTCTCCGCGTCGACGCCTCCATTTTCTTTTATCTTAACAGAGATTTGACTGACTTGCAAATAGTTATTCAATGTTTAGGTATATAATATATTTTTTATGATTGCTTAAGAGCTCTTTAATTATTTTTCTAAGTCGTTGAACTGTTTTTTTTTTAATTATTTTTTATTACGCTTATAATTTGGGTTTCTCATGGATATGCTTACTATGAATTATTTTTTCTAAACAATTTACTATTAATTATTAAAATTATATTTGAAAAAGATCGCGTAGTATACATGATTTTATAACTATTGCCAAAATGAGAATTTTGTAGGTTCCTTAATAATTTAAGTAAACAAAAAAAAGGACACGCAAAAATCTTAAAACTAAAATAAAGTATGTAAACGGACATTGTTATGCCATATCTAAAGTCTGCGTAGGTTTACTCTTTAAAAACACAGATAAAACATTTCTTTATTGAGGTAGGATAAAAGGAAGAACAACATTCCTACTAACTCATGCTTAAATAACTTAAAATAAACAAACTTTGCAGAATAATAAGCGGCAAAAATATTGTTACGTTGTTATGAATACAGTGAAACAGTAAGAATAATCTTTGCAGAATATGTTATTCAGTACATTATTTGTTTTATGTGAAAAATAAACATAACAATATAAAAAATAACGAAGAAATAAGATAATAATAATAACCCAGGACAATTCACACAGCGCCATTTAGTCCCAAGCTAAGCAGAGCTTGTGTTATGAGTACTAGAAAACTGATATTAATACATAAATATGTTTTTTGTAAATACATACATAATATATAGAAATAATACCCAGACCGATACAAACAATCATAATGTCGGAATAAAATTAATACTAAACCGTGTTTAATAAAGGAAAAGAATATAGGTTCTCTCTATTATGTCAAAATTAAATTTCGCTGCCATTGTTTTTTTATTTTATTTATTCATAACAACTTACATTCTGTTGAATTATTATTTTGACATTTATTACATAGCATAATTTATAATTTATGATTTTAATTGTTTAATAAAGGAAAATGTTAATTTGGTAATAATAATCAACATTACACTTGTTTTATAAATGATTAATTGTATAATAACATTTCTTTAATATAAAATATATAGAAATATTTACAAATCAATATAAATATTATTAATTGGGAAGTAAGTCTGTCAGTCTGTATGTTACTTTTTAAAACTCAAGCGCCTTTATTTTTTTATGTTTCTACCAAATATTACCCACTCATCACTAACTATATTAATGTTTTGAGTTGACTGGATAAGATCTCTTCTAGGAATAAGTCTACCTTTGTTTACATTGTTTCTAAATTATTTTAATAATTATTACTGTAGATAAAATAATTTAGAAACAATCTAACATGCCATGCAATGTATCTATGCCAAACAGTTACTTATTTTCAATCCTTCCTCCAGAACCTTAGCAGTATGGAACCAGTCAAATAGTCATCCTTTATTCACGGAGTCGGATGCCCGTTACCATCAGCTTGCTCTAACTAAAATGAGGAGGCTGCTCTACTGCATCTGTGGCGTCACTGTCTTAGCTGTAGCTAGTAAGTATATAGTACTAGTATTAACTCTTTCAACCGACTTTAAGAACAGAGGATGTTTTCAAGTCCGCCGTGTTTTTTGTATAATTTGAAACGATTTAGACTTTTTTTTTATTTAATGAGGATAAATTGATATACCATATAAATTATTATTATTATTTTCATTAGATAAGCTACCTTTGAGCACATATTCAAATTGACAGTATAAATACAGATAATTACGTATCTGTTTTAGAGAGCACTTTGAATTTAGCTGTTCTATATTAAATAGATAGTACATTAAAGTTATTTATCGAAATCAAAGCATCTAATCCCTAAAATATATAAAACTGTTATAAAACACTCATATGCCTGTAATTGATGTGTAGAGTATGTTAATTTTTAAGAAGTGGCTAGTAAAATTAAAATAAACATTTCACCTACAACTTATTCTATATTAGTTTTTTTTTTACTGTATAGAATTAATTATTAAGTATTTGTAGAGTTTTTATATTTCTAAACATCATTAAATAATGTTTTAGGTTGGGTTACGATAACGTTTTTCGGCGAATCAGTGCGGTTCATTGCTAACAAGGAGACCAATGAGACTATGACCGAACCTGCTCCAAGGCTGCCCCTCAAAGCTTGGTATCCATTTAATGCCATGGGTGGAACTATGTATATAGTCGCTTTTGCTCTGCAGGTTTGTTTATACTAATAATAGCAACCCATTCTGTCTTTACACAATATATCACAACCTTTCTTTGAAATCACTTTAATTAGGGATAAAAACTGCATGAAAATCCATTCGGTAGTTTTTGACATTATTACAGACGATACACACAGACGTGGCGAGGGACTTTGTTTATATATGTATAGAAGATGTTAAAGGAAATTTTACACAAAGTCTATTAAAGAGTCGCGGTCGAGTCCAACTGATCCAATATTATTAAATAATATTATTATTTTGAAAACTTTAGTTCATTAAGTTGGATAAGATATGCCCAAATATTTTACTCATTGGGTACCAATAATAACTTTGTCCTTCGGAATGGCGGTATCACTGGCGTCTGCTATGTACATATATAGGTGACGATTACCACTTTCCATAAGGTGGCCGTAGTTTGCTCACTGGGCTAACCTCCATGATTAGACTTCTTCATATTATCTACTATTATTGATTTCTAACAGCGTTACCATTAATATTGTCTGAAGACGGTTGTAGAAAGGTTTATGGGCTGAGAGAATAATTAATATTTTTTTAACTTTTTACTGAGTAGTCCCAATTGTTTCAAACTTTGCAGAATTGTTGTTTATAAATAATTGAAGTACGCATTTAAATACTTTTTTAAACTACTCTTAAAAAGTCGATCAACTAAACGCAAGCAAATGCTTCAATAGTTTTAAATTACAATTTTATTTTCACGCAGGTGTATTGGCTACTTTTCTCAATGGCCATAGCCAATTTAATGGACGTAATGTTTTGCTCCTGGCTCATCTTCGCCTGTGAACAGCTTCAGCATCTGAAGGCTATTATGAAACCGCTGATGGAATTGAGCGCATCTTTGGACACATACCGACCAAATACTGCTGAATTGTTTAGAGCTTCGTCTACAGGTTAGTTTAGCATAGTTTAGATTCTGTTCAATTATGGACAGTGATCAGTACCTCCTCGCTGTGTATAGTGTATGCCAGTACAATATATACATTTTTATTCATGAGCATGATTGTTTTTATTGATCTGGGTATTTTCTACACATCTCTTTTCTTTCTGGGTATAAAAAAAAGAATGTAGGAAAGTATTTCTATCGTGCTTAGTACGTATGACATAAGTTCTGATTAGTTTGTGACTAGATGGTGCTCTGTTTATTGTTACGGGTTATTATTGCTACTCAAAGCTATGTCTGTCTGTTTGTTAATTTATCATTACACTAATTATTCCCCCAATTACTACATTGCCGCAAAATCACGTAAATTTGAAGGGAATTTCGCATTAGAAATAGAAATAATCTTTATTAAAATAAATTCATTACAAGCACTTTTGAACAGTCATATTTTGATTCTACCACTCATTCGGAATGCAGATTCATCACAAGAAGAATGAGCAAGAAACTTGTGTGTTGCTCTTTTTAATAGATGTTTTTTTTTATATAAATAATTACAGTATAACAAGTAAGAGGCATGCGATAATCAATATAGAAGTCGCTACGCACTCATTATTAATGTAATCAGATAATATTGTCAGTGCTATAGATTTAAAGTTTTTCTATAAAAACATTATTATCGTTAACGAATTCTTCAATTTTATAGTAAGCTTTTTTGCAAAGGAACTGTTTTATTTGACATTTAAATCTTTTTTCTGGCAGATTTATAACAGACTCTGGTATTTTATTACTGCGAATATCCTTGTTAATTTGTTTTTTGGTAAGGAAGACTATTTTTAAATGAAACTGTGACCTCTTCTCATGAAGCGTTTATTGCAACAACTTAACGTTTTTTAAATTACATGGCTGTGGAGTTTTTATTGGTGCTCATATGTGTCGCGTGATGAGCGGTGCTTCTCACTGGTCGATTGTGTGATGCCGTCATCGACGCAACGTTTGACGTCGACCAGTGGTGGTTGAGGATGGCGCCTGTGGGTTTGAGCATTATACTGCTCACAGCAGATTTGCTACTACTGTTTTAACAATCCTATATAATATCATAAGAACCGACTAAAACTCGAGATGCACCATTTCAGCGTTGTGAATGTAGTCTAAATCTTTATATTAAAATTTTATAAATAAATGTCTATATCTGTATCGTACTGTTTTTTATTACATTATACTATAGTAACTTTATTTTAACAGAGAAGTCTGAAAAGGTACCAGAACCTACAGACTTGGATATCCGTGGTATATACTCCACTCAGCAGGACTTCGGAATTACTCTTCGCGGCGCTGGCGGCAGACTGCAAACCTTTGGACAGCCCACTACCAACAATCCTAATGGTTTAACTCAGAAGCAGGAGATGCTAGCCAGATCTGCTATTAAGTACTGGGTGGAAAGACACAAGCACGTTGTGAGGTTAGTGCATTGAATACATACTTACATTATAAATTGCCGGACTCAGTAGCTTAACAGTGTAACATACCTGCCTTACGATGGTCTCGAGTTCGATTCCTCTCACGATGCTAACATTTGTATGCATAAATGGGATTGTTAGTGTTGGTCAGGGTGTTTTCTACGTACATTGTATATACATTTACAAAAAAAAAATTCAAAATTTTTTTGTTTAAATGTATATATAATTTAGATAACTATCTATATCACCAGATCTGCTTAGCTTAGAACTAGACGGTGCTGTGTTAATTGTCCTGAGTTATTATTATTATGTACAGATATATCTATAGGTATACCTATATCTGTACATTTTATAATCACGATAAAACAATTTTATATTCTATGAGTCTTTATAAATTCAAATTTATCTTATGTTAAAAAGAAACATCGACTAATATTTTATTGAAGCAATTCAATTTAATTTCATCTCATTTTTAAGCTAACATTTACTCAATTATTAAAATTGATTGAATTTCATTGGGCTGTAAACTCATGATGATTATGATTGTATTACTTATTTCTAGACTCTTCAACAAAAAATTTCACATCTGAAAAGTAATTTACAGTTTTCAAATAAAATATGATTTCTCTACTAACTCCTGCTCGCGTCTGAACCTGTGTACCTTTTTGTGATACGACGCTTACTACACAAAATCTGTGAAAACTGCACCCAAATTAGTCTGAGATTAATGCGCATAAACACATAAAAATTCTGGTCTCATTGTTTTGGGTTTTCACTTTTTTAATATAAGTATGGAGTGATTTTTCATGATAGAACGTTTTCATAATACATTTAATATCGAATAGTCGATTTATTTTTCAAACACATACACAAAATTATTAAATGACATAGGACCTTTCGACCTCTTATGGATAACTTATTATTACCCTACGTTCGGCTACTTCAATTGAGAAGATCTGGCAAGGAACTCAACTGATACACTTTTTCAGTCAGTTTCATCTTTAAATATTCAAGATTAATTATACCAACCTTTCGGAATACAGATTCAGCCAACAGTAATGTGCAAGACACTTAACTGTGTAGTATTGTTGCCATATGTAATATTATGTTATCTGTATTGTCAGTATAGATATATGACTATGTAAGTTCGTATAAATTATATCACATTGGTTACCAATCAGTATGAAATTACTAGATACGGAAACGTAATTTATTTATGTATATAGATTAATATTTACATTTATATATAGATTTATATATTTCCTACAATACATTTTTTTTATTACACAAGCTTGGATGTTGTATTCGGTGTCCCATATGGACCTAAATGGATATAGTTCATCAACGTTCCCATTTAAAGTAAAAAAAAGCTATAAAAATAGCTTTTTATATTGCCACGTAATAAATTGTATGTAAATGGATCGATCTACATATAATATTTCCCACGTCCTTGTGAAGTCCAAGTGTGAGAGAAAGAACAGTTGTCCAGTATTGAACTGTCGTTACAAAAGGACATCGATCGATTCAAATTGTCGTATTATTTATTTTAATCACTTTGATACTGAATTTTTTAAAGTATAACTTAGTACAGTATACAAACTATCGATTTCATCTATATATAAAATTGTACATTCTATTATTTGAGGGCCTCGGTGGTCAAGCGGTATAGCATACCGCCTTACTTCCGATGGTCGCGAGTTCGATTCCTCTTACGGCACAAACATTTGAATTCATGAGTATGATTTTTTTTTAAACTTTCGTGTTTAATATACATTATTTAAATTATTAACCGGGTCTTTTAATATACATCGACGTTTCGACTAGGTTGGACTAGAGAGAGGTAAATACATTTATTTGCCATAAAATTATTCGTGTTAAGACCCGGTTAATAATTTAAATAATGCATGAGTATGATTGTTCTATGTATGTACTTAATATCTATGTATTCGTATCAGTTGTCTAATACCCATAACACAAGCTATAGTTAGCTATAGCTTGTAGGGTCTAGATCGCGCTGTGTGAATTGTCCTAACATTATTATTACTATCATTTGTATAGTAAACGTAGTCTGGCAAATTAATAGTGTTGCATGTCACGATCTTTCGTTAAACAATCTAGTGATGATAGTTGAACAAACTGCTGACACCTACTGACATTGGCAAAGCTATATCCCAGTCAACTCGTGACCACGGCTGGTGTAACCTAACCGAAACAGAGGTCCACAGGATCTTATTTATCTTAATACTATTCGAGTTCAGAGCCGATTAATTAATTATCATACCAATTTATTGTACAATAACTTAAAAAGAGAAATAAAGGGTTTGTTAAATTTACATGGTTTTATTTCATGTAGGTGCTAACTATTTTTATATTAGATATTTCATTTATAAAAGAAAATAAAAAACATATATATTTATAGAGAATTTACACGATTTTTACATTTATACACATTTTTAGAGGTATTACCTTCATAACAGTGTCGAAATATCGGCAATTGAAAAAACATAATCTCTGTATATATACTTATGTCTTACGTTTTATAATATGTACTAGCAGCCACGCGTTGCTGTGGCTTAGGCAATAAAATAATATTGCGACTATAAATTGACATGTAAACTATATTATCTTTCAAGTTAGATCAAATTGCAAACAATGTGCAAGTTAAATTTGCAATCGGTTCAGTAGTTTTGGAGTCCAACGCGGACAAACAACATGACACGTAATTTTTATATATAAAGATAATGGAAAACAACAATAAAAATATTAATTTTTATCTATTTTTTAATTATTTCATTTATGGAGGCAATATCTATGAATGGTAATCATACATTTATTTCGCAGACTAGTGGCATCCATAGGGGACACTTATGGTACTGCTCTACTGTTCCACATGTTAATTTCTACTATTACGCTTACTCTACTGGCTTATCAGGCTACCAAGGTATGTATACTTGTCTATACAAAAATTATTATTTAACTGTTTGTTTGTTTGCATTATGTATCCAAAATACAGTACACTGGAAGGAATTAGAGGAGGCCTTTGCCATAAGGCACTCTGTACTGCGGGATATAATATAGATAATGAAATTAATAATTAAACATAGAAAATTAAACTACTTAATAAATGTGCAAATAATAATTGTAAAAAAATATATATAATAATAATAAATTTATACTATAATATAATAATACGAATGAACATGAAATGTAACAAAAAAATGAAATAAAAAGATAATGTATAATAGCACAGAAATAAAGGCTTCTTTATCTTGTGTGCATTGAATAGGCTTCGAAACTACTGTACCAATTTGAAAAAAAAAATTCCTGATGAATGTAGGAGATAGAATATTTTCAAAAACGTTAAGGATCCATATAAAAACTTCGATATGTATATATATACGTGTGAAAATTACAAAAAAAAAAACATTATGTCGGATACGCTGCGGAAATTATTGTCAACAGAGCAAAGTGATGTATTACAGTTCTATAGACATCAATATCGACACATGTATATGTATGTATTTGGGTAATAAAACTCATAATTATTGAAATTTTTGTTTGATGCCCGTGCGAGATCGTGGCAAATCGCTAGTAATTTATGTTTATTGAACACGTTAAACATATTTTTAATAATATATTCTGCGAATATACCTGCAGCCTTTTTATGTGAAATCTTAACACACAAATGGATAAATTGATAGTTTTTACCTCGTGACGATTTTACGATTTCATTATATCTTAAAGAAAATTTATAAAGATTACTATTTACACACAAATAACGCAAGGAAAGACAAAGTAACAAATGTTCAATGTTTCATATTTGATATAGTATTGGGTAATAAATAACAAATTTTAAAGAACAACTTTATATAGCTGCAAGCGGAATAACACGTAACTTTTATTTCAACGTACAAAATATTACAAAGAACTCAAAAAGAGGCGAGTTTCGGTAGTAAATATTGACAAATGACGGCACTAAGCCGACTTTGGGTCAACCTTGTAATGTTTCGAACCTTGTAATGTTGCGAATGATTCCACAAAGAAACTTCCGAAATGCGATTTGTGGGTAAAACATGAACTCTTAGGGGTCTGATACTGCAGAGTGAAAAAATATACGGGCGACAAAAAAATCAAAGGAAAGGTTATGGAAATATTTTTTTAAGAAAGATTAAGCCCAGTTTGTAAATGAAAAGATAGATTGGTGTCCGTTTAGATCGAATATGAAAAGCAATAAATACTTATGACTATTTCATGGCTATTATCTGTACATATTGCGGTAACTGAATTCTCGTTAAATTCATAAATTAGTTAATAAATATAAATACTAAAATCTTGTATAAAATAATTTTGACTGTTATTTTGGGCTCACATTATCAGGTTTAATCTGAACGGGCAGTGCGAACGATGCTGTACCATTCGATTATATATTGCTTGATACGCTCCATCCTTTATAGAAATGCTCTAATCGACTCCATAATAGTATCTGAATAAAGTTAATGTCCTAATCAACTTCAAATAACTCTCATATGTTCGCGTGGTCACAGACTCTCTCAGAGTTCTCAGATCAACCTAATGTTCTTCCTTCAATTGGCGCAATTCCAAGTAAGCGAAAAGTGGTAACCAAATGTGCCAATCAAACGGAATAGGGTAATCGCCCGACAAATTGAGTAATATGAGACCATACTTTTTTATTGTTATTCATACATTTGCCAGATTTACATAAACTTACAGACTTTTATTTTTTTTAATTTCTTTCAATATACCTAATGTATACACTATTCATTCTACCTAATAATTTACTTTTGTGGTATAATACTGTAATGGTAACCATACTTCCACTCTAAATGACTTGGCTTTTAGTTGATTTTTGTTTTAGATTGACGGTGTTAATGTGTACGCGTTTAGTACACTTGGGTACCTCAGCTATACACTGGGACAAGTGTTTCACTTTTGTATTTTCGGTAATCGACTGATTGAAGAGGTATGTTTTTTTATTTTAATATATTTATATTACATTTTGTTTATGCCAACCTGATGATAAATGGTGCTTGACGTACGTAGTATAAACGAAACTACTTCTTGTTTTTTTATTGGATCAGCAAACAAGCTGGCGGTCTACCATTGAAGTGGTAATCGTCTCCCATATATGCATATATATGTACGGAGCCGTAGACGCACGTCATCTCCGCTCGTAGCACTTCGATATCCTGTAATTTCACTGTCTTATCTCACCCTTCAACTGAAACAGTTGAAATAGGTGAGACAGAGGTACTCATTCACGTAAATGTCTTTGTTCAAAGTTTCCTTTTAATAAATTTCGGTTAATAGAAAAAACAATAATAGACAAGGTGCTTTGTTTTTTTTATTAAATTTATCGACATTTGCCTCATACTCTTCACCTCTATTTTAAGAGCTCATCTGTGATGGAAGCTGCATACTCCTGTCAATGGTATGATGGTTCTGAGGAAGCCAAGACCTTTGTTCAGATCGTCTGTCAGCAATGTCAGAAGGCAATGAGCATCTCGGGAGCTAAATTCTTCACAGTATCATTGGATCTTTTTGCTTCTGTAAGTATAACAATTACTTCTAGTAATACCTTAAGTTGTATATACATATTTCTACCTTCGCCTTGTTCATTGCTGTGAAATTACAATTAAAATTGTATTATTTATGTTATAAAATAATTAGTGGAATTTTAATTCTTTTTAAGAAAATAGAATCTTCCGAAAACTAGTGTATTTTGTGTGATTTTCAAATCAATCAACTGACAAGAAAGAGACCACCATTTTATAATCATTATATCTTTGAAAAAATAGAATACGATTAAGTACGCGAAAAGATGTTCCGTTTCCTCTAGTCATTAAATTCTATGTCGCTCTCATACAGATTCCTGCCATACGCCAAATATTATATTTATTAAGGACTTGATCATTTCAAATTGTACGTTAATTATGAATAAGGAGCGTTTATAATTGATAGCATTTTTTTAAACATGCATATCGATCTTTTTTACTTATTTTTTCAGTGCTTAACTAAGAAATATAATATTTTTATTATTGTATTTTTTTATTAAAAAATTACATTTCGGTTATAATCTCGAAACTTGCTAAACGGCATATTAACCGACGTTTATGTTTCAGGTGCTGGGTGCAGTCGTAACTTATTTCATGGTGTTGGTACAACTGAAGTAAAAAGTTTTATCGTTAGGGTTAATACGCCTCTACGTTGTTGCAGTTGGTTCGTAAAGAACTTTGATGTGGGGATATTATATGGCTTAGATTATATAACTAAGTTTAATTACTAATTATGGATAATCGGTTTCCTGATAACAGTAATAATAATCTTAAACCTAGAAGATGACATTATTATTTGTCAATAATATTTCGATTCATGATAAAAAAATCATATTCAAAATAATCTTCATGCCTTGGAAGCCTACACTATTAAATATATTGGATATTGTTACATTGATTTGTCAAATTTGCGTATAGTTCGTATTGGGAATGAATACAGAATATATAACTAAGTTTAATTACTAATTATGGATATATGAATTTTATAAAATCAAAGCTGTGTGTTATAATATTTAAGCCTAGATGATACGATAACCGTATCATCAATATTTATATTTTTTCAACCATAATTTCCATAAAATAACCTAACCAACCTCTTCAATATTGTCTTCATAAATAAGGAGGTTATTATATTATCGACCAGCATTGCATATTTTTGTCAAACTAACTAACTGTCCATGTTTCATATCACTATTAACTTTTATATTAATTTGTAACTCCAAAGTGTAGGAATGAAGCAATATTCTTGATAATAAAAAGAGATAATATAAAAATATCGGCTGTTAATTTTTAAAGTAAAACAACTAAAAAGCTTGCGCAGTGCGCAATAGATTACATATGTAAAATTATTACTGCGCTGGTTACGTGGGATCAAAATCATGCACAATTTATTTTGATATCTATAATATCTAGATTTAATACTTAGTAACTAGATTTAATATTTTTATAACGTTTATGTACGAGAATTTAATGAATTCGTATTTTGAGTCAATTGTTTGATTTCATTCGGAAGATTTCTATAGGGTGAGTCTAGCAAATACAACGCAGCGTTTCACTTCGCACCGACAGTTTGTCGCGAAAGACAAAGTTTAGTCGCCAAAGAAGCTGAAAATGTAGTATGTAAATTCTTCAATTGTAGTACATAGTTATAAAAATATTAAACAAAGCAATACGAAATCACTTTTATTAATAATATAACAAGATCTATTTAAAGTTTTCTTTTATACAATTGAAAAAATATTTATATCAGTATAAAAATAAATTTAAATATTTGACTTTACCTAATAAGAGCACATGTTTTGTATCGTAGAGAGACAATGCACCTGTAGGTACTCTTGTTATACAGAATCTATGACTATGTTTTGTATTTCTTATTGCAGAAATATAAAAGTTTATATACATTGTTGTTGTAATTTGTATGTTTTATAATACATGTTAATTAGTAAAGAGATTTATTATATTAAGCTGATATAAGTAATTTAGTAGATGTAATCCTTTTATTACTAAGGATCGCATAATTGCAATACGTTCTGTTTTTAATTTTTAACAATATTTTATGACTTTTGTGTATATATATATATTATACAATTAAATATAATAATTAATTCTTGTGAACAATTTTAGTTTCAACACATATATGCTGAATAAAATTGAATATAGTATATAGTAAACATGAATGTTTACTATATCGAATTAAGTAGTGTTTGTTATCTGTATCTACATATCTTTTGTGTTATGAAATAACGTGACTAAAAATAAATACCTACATATATTTTTTGTATAAAATATTTACTATATTATTATTATTTTGTATATTAATAATAATAAATATGTTTATAACGGCATCAACTAATGTTAGTAATAATTTTTCTATTCTAATCTTAGTTTTTATGTTAGTCCTTGTTATTATAATCACAATGATTACAAGTAGTTAACTTTGCCCAATATATACACGAACAAAGTGTTGTATTACCGGTGTATGAAGTTTATCAATCAATGTTTTCAGAATGTGTTGGAGCTACCGCGCATTCTGATAACTAAGGATGCCATTTTTTTCTTATCATGACATAAAACTTATATGTTCGTTTAAGAGCGAACACGCTAAATGCACCAGAGTTTTTTTTACTGAGGGTTTTGGGCTATTGTCAGTAAGACCTGTAGCACTGCGACCTACATAGATCTATTGTGCTGGCCTTTTTTAAAACTTCGCTGCCTAGATCCATCATGAACAAGAATTGAATGATATGCCCAGGAGCGATGGTTTTTATCTCCTCAAGATAGAGTTTATGTACTCAGGACATTCCAAAGGAGATATTTCATTTATGCATCTACAGGTTTCCTCTTCAGCTTCAGTACTAGAATAACGCGGTAGCCCCACAACATCCTGAAACCTCATCATTATGCTGTGCATGACGCATATATACAGCTGTTATATATTTAAATTAAGAATCCTTTTTTTGTTGATATTTTATTTATATTAGATAATATTGTAGAGATTTTATGTGTAATTATTAATATATTATTACTTTCTGAAATTAATATAATAAAATATTTCTGATAATTTTATTACTTGTGCTTGTTACAAAACAAATCAATTGTTACGTATGTGCATTGTGTTTATAAATAAATCACATTATTTTAGAAATGTTTGTTTTTAAACTTTATTATTATATTATTATAAGTGCAGAACTGGAACTGCTCTTCATGAATTTTTGATCTTCTGTTTTTGAAGTCAAATAGTTTGATTGCATGTTGGCTTCTAATATAAAGTGTAAGCGATTGCATTGAATTTATGGTACAGAGGCATACGAACTTTATTTACATTGAACGAAAATTGAGAGTTACAACGTACGGCACAGTGATTGTGATTACGATACATTGATTACTGTTCGTATTTACAAAAAAAAAAAACAATAATAGAAATAGCAAAATAATATAAATATGTTTAGTTTAACATTCACGACGCCATCGTCAGTGTTTCTAACTATCCCTCTAGAATTATTGTCTTTAATTATATTTTTGTCATTTTACTTTATTAATTTCAACATATGTATCCATTAGACGAATAAAACTGTAGCAAAATTTGCAATTAGTAAGTTAACAGACGGGCAATTCTATTTTACGTATTGCTTTATTTAAATTTCCACCCTCTACAGTTTTAATTAAAACTTGAAATGCTCTGAACCAACCAAATTAACAGAAGACAGGATTAATAGAGATAATTAGTGGTGGAAAATTAAATTCGAGTTGTATCTTATTTGATGTATAATACATAGTACTAGGAGTTACCCGCGATATAATCTGGTTTTTCTTTCTTGTTAAATTTCAATAATATCTATTTCGCCAATTATTGAATAAGTAATAAACAGACAGACGGCCAGACAATTTTCGTATTTAAAATACTAGCGGTTACTTGCTACATCGTCTGCTTTTTTTAGAATAATGATAGATAAGACGTTTATTTGATTTTTTTTTAATTACACACTACTACACTTATATAAAGGTAAAACAATACATAGATAATATTACCATTATAGTTTGTGTTATTATGTATGATACCTACACAGCAACATAAAAAGGTCATAAGCTCAGTGTGAAAGCTTATTCAGGGTACATAACATTGATTTTCAGATGACATCCCATGATCGTTCTTCTGATAGAATCTATCTTCATAGGGAAAAGGGTATTGTTAGTAATGTATACTAATAACCCCATTGCTAGCAGTATTCCATGTCAGTTTAATCTACACGCAGTTTCACCGGAATACCTTTTTCTTTTGCCTGGGCTTGATTCTATTTATTGGGGGTCGGCCCGTCTGGTCAGACTTCGCCAGGACGTTCTGTCCTGGGTCGTCAGAGATGTTATTTTGGCGCTTTTTATATCCCTCTCAATAAAGGTCATCCATGTGAGACGGGGTCTGCCGCGTCTTCTGGGCTGGGTACATATGTGAAGCACTGTTCTTGTCATTTGGTCTGATGATTGCCGCATGACATGGCCGTACCACCTTAGGCGGCACTCTAAAATCTTGACTACCCTTCTGTGGGGGTTTAAGCCCACAGTTCCGTGATAATGCTATTGATTGATTGATGAGGGGTTTTTGATAAATAAAACCGCCTTGGTTGAATGTTATCGCAGGCGAACACTGATTTTTATTACTAAAATAAATATAATGAGGTGATATGTATAGAAGTGAAATTGCATGTGTAGGCAATTGTGTATTACACAGATAAGCAGGCATGTGCGATTACCGTACACCTACTTTTATTGTCTCACTGGTATAGTAGATACGGTCTATGTATATAAACCACTGAAGAAAGACAATTGATATCTCATTAGATAGCAGCACTATGACTTATGCTAACTTAGCAAGTGCTTTTTCACCCTACCCTCGACACTAATTGGATCCCAGTGGCTGCAAGTTATTGATGGCAAGATCCAATTAGTGTTATTAAAAACATTGCACCTACATTTTTAAACAAATAGTAAAAAGAGATTTAAATTTCGACCGCCTTTTTCTTATCGATTTCAAAGTGAATAAATATAATTTTCATATATAAGAGAACCCCTATGTCTGCCCTTCGCATACAAATCTTCATTTTTAAACTTAATTATTGTACATTTATATAAGGCATTCTCTACCACTAATGAAAGTCAATTTTTTTTACGACGATGCCTACTTCCCAGTCCGCTTGTTGCTGCAGTTGAGATAAAATAGCAAGAAACTAATAAGTACATAAAAAACAGCTTCACCGAGCGATAGTCGAGTTGCAGATGGCTCTCCAAACCCGCGGAAGGACTTATAGAGCGGCTGAAGGCGAGCTCCTGTCTCACAGATACGACTCTAGTCTAAGTGCACCGCTAGGGTTCAGACTCTCGACTCAAGACGTCGTAATTAGGATCTCTATTTGTAATGGCTCTTGATCGAACGGAGGCGATGGGGGTGCCAAGAAACGGCTGCTAAGGGATGGGCAATAAACTCAAACGAAATTTTTTATTTATTAAAATCATTTATTCATTAATATGAATTATTAAAATGAATTTAATCATTAAAATGAAAATTCAGTCATTAGTCGAGAAAAGGACAAATGGACAGTCACTTACATATATATACAAAGTAG